AAGATGAAGGGGTAACAGAGTGATCAGCCCCAATGGGCCCATCTCGGCCCTACTACCGACTGCGCAGTTAATCGGGCACATAAAGAAAGCAGATCATCACAGACCTCGTGTTGACACTCTCAAGAAATATGTGGTTGGTCTGTTAGTTGTCTGATACAACTACCACTTCTCTCTTTATCTTTTCTCTCTCCCTACACAATTGATATAGCAGATCTTTTCGGGCAGCCTGCGAATCTAACAGCTGCAGATAAGAGCTGACCTTTTGTTTTTTTGGGTGGCCTGGCTATTGCACACGGATCTAAAACTAAACAAAACACCTGCTAGTGGGACTTGACCCCAGCACCAGGCAATTCATAAGTATTATATTATGTTCATTTGATTACATCTGGATTCAGATTTGGACTTGTAATCCAGCGGCCCGCAGCCTAGCTCAGTTGGTTAGGCATGCAAGTGGCATTCAGGAGGTTGTGGGTTCGAGCCCTATGACTGCCTGTGGCGCACTTAGTGCCAACCAGTTCTGATAGTTTGCTTGATCTCTCTGATCAGTACCAACATGGGTATGAGTGTCTGTGTGAGTGAGTTGTGTGTAACATGTGGGAGAGTGTTGGCCTTAGACACTGCTGTTACTCTATGGGTGTGGGGGAAGATTAAAAGGGAGGTGCAGCTACTGGCAAATGTGGTTCCTGGTGTTAGCCGAGCCCCCACCAGTGGCCCCAACCCTGCACCCTAAACCACGGGGCAAGGGGCAAACATGCAACGCCTTCATGGCGAGGTAGCTATGGTTGCAGGAGTCCAACTGAGCTTGCACCAAACATGCAATGCCTTCATGGCGAGGTAGCTATGGTTGCAGGGGTCCAGCTGAGCTCGCACCAAATGAAGTTGGGCTTGTGCGTCAACAATTTGTGGGTGTACCAACTGAGCTAGGCTCATTGGTTCACGGAGCAGGGGTAAACATGCAATGCCTTCATGGCGAGGTAGCTATGGTTGCAGGGGTCCAACCGAGCTTGCACCAAAGAAAGTTGGGCTTGTGCGTCAACAGTTCGTGGGTGTACCACTGAGCTAAGCCGGCTCGTCGGCTCACGGAGCACAATTTGCTTTGCGCCACCGGCCTTTTCCGAGCGGGCACTTGGAGCCCTCAGCAGGCCTTTTCTCAAAGGCCTTACACGACCACGCTACGCTTCATAAAATGTGCAAAAATGCAGTTGGGGCATAGTGGAGGAAACCCCCCTTTTCGAAAGGGCAATCATTAGGGCACAACTCGTCAGGTGGGTGCTTGCACCCATTGACAGGACAAGGCAGCAGCACAATTGGCAACGCCGGGGAAGGTCCCACACCCCTGGGACGGCGGCCAGGGAATATCCAAGTATGGGCAAGGAGTGAGTAAGGGGCGCCCTAGCCAATGTTTCAATAAGAAAAACAAAAAAAGCAAAAAGGAAATGGCTGGTCGAGCCAGCCGAGATCAGGCTGATGAGCTTGCCAAATCGCACATCGGGAAAGAGACGCTCCACCGGCTTGATCGTTTAGGCCACTTGTTGTCGGCCCAGCCTCTGGAAAACCTTATGCCACGGCATTCAGCCCCTGCAAGAGACTTCTCTCAGAGATGGATGGGGTTATGTGGCATTGATATGTAGAGGGGTTGCTTCTTCAAGAGCTCTGGAGGACAAGAAACTCTCTCGTGTTTAAAAGTTAAAAATTTTGAAATAATGGTGGACACAGCATGTTCGGAAACCCTGAAGGCAAAAAAAACTTGCGCGGCAGAGAAACCACGCCCACGCGCCAGCTCGAAATGAGCGATTTCAGTCCAAAAGTATCCATTGGGCTTTTTTTTTTTTTTTTTTTTTCCCCTCCGACACCACAGCCGACCCCTGTAAGTAAATATGACACCTGGTCTGACACCACGGCAGTCGGTACTTCCGTTGCCTTTTTGATCTCCGCGCTGTTTTCATTGCAGACACCTGTTTTTTTTGCCCTTCGATACTCAAAGGTGACATGAACGTACTTATCCCCAAAAAAATCGATACAGGAACAGAAAGCTCAAGTCTGCCCGAATATAAGAAGTATGATAATGGTAGGCTGGCAGATGTGCTTTAAGAGCAAGAGAAAGGGGTTCCTTCGCATTTTGAGGACTTGGGTTAAAGGGGACCATTTGACATCAGTTACGCAGGATGGAAAATTGGAGATCTCTCGGTGGCTTAAACTGCCTTGAAGAAACTCCAACCTGGTGGTCTGTGTGGGTTTACAGCTTTAAGTTGAATCAGGGGGAATAATCCCAAGCTAATTGAAAGGGTGATACTACAGTTGACTACTCATACAGTCATCAGGAGAATCTGTAGATTTTACATTGTTAAAAACGTTTTTAACAGATTCTGATTTTACCTGAGCATTAAACCACCAGTACTTGGCCCAGCTATCGATGCCAAGCCAGCCGACCCCCTGCGCGCCAAGTTTTCCCGAACCGCCGCAGCGTCTTTTCGACTTTGTTTTGGCTGGCGCTTCCAGCCATCGAGGTCTGGTACCCCAAAGCCCGGAGCTTGAGGGCCCGAACCGCTGCGGCGCCCTTTCGACTTTGTTTTGGCTGGCGCTTCCAGCCATTGAGGTCTGCCTGGTCTGGTACCCCGAAGCCATCGAGGTCTGGTACCCTGAAGCCTGGAGCTTGAGGGCCCGAACCGCTGCCGCACCCTTTCGACTTTGTTTTGGCTGGCGCTTCCAGCCATTGAGGTCCCCCGAAGCCCAGAAGTTGCGGGCTGTTAATGACAACGGCCCGTGGCCGTGGCCCATGTATGGGCCAAGAACTGGTGGTTTAAGGTATTTTCTTGGAAGGATGATAAGGAATTTCACAAGAGTATGGAGACATTTTAGGTCCCCCTTTTTTACCCCTTTTTGACGAGCTGACGAGCTTCAAGGTTTTATTTGGAAGAGTTCTTTTAGATCGAAGTGGAGGGAAGCTGGAACCGGTTTCCAGCATAGCCTAAGCTGGGTAACGGCCCCAGTACTTTCTGGGTTGTTTGTGAGGATTCCGGGCCTCAATTTTCCATACGTTCAACGAACTGAAATGTTGAATACTTCCAAAAAAAAAACTTACGCCAGGCAAATCGTGCCCCGCCACAGCTCGGATTTCTTAAGAGCCAGGGAAAAAGCCGCATGGGGAAAAGGAGGATGGGAACAACTCGTGGTGGTTTTCATTGAGGTTGACACCTGGGAAAGAAAGGGCACTGCTGACATGAGGAAGACTTGATACAGTCATCGTTGTTCTACATTATTACACACGAACTGACCACGTGATCTTCCCTTCGCCCATATCTATCGGTGAACACACGCTCAGGTTCTCCTCCAGTTTCCAGAGCCACGAAATCTCTCTCTCCCTCTCTCTCTCTTTCTCTCTCTCTCTCTCTCTCTCTCTCTCTCTCTCTCTCTCTCTCTCTCTCTCTCTCTCTCTCTCTCTCTTTGTGTGTGTGTGTGTGTGTGTCTGTGTGTGTGCGTGTGCGTGTGCGTGTGTGCAAAGCAGCCAACAATGAGCGCGCCCATGCAGTGATACGCAGGGCAATCACTTTTCACGTGACATTTGAACGTAACCTCTCAAATGTGACGTTATGTCTGCCTGCTTTGCACACGCTACATTCTGCTGAAATTGGGACGTGCACACACACGCACACGCACACCCACACGCACCCACACGCACCCACACACACGTACACACACACACGCACGCGCACACACACACACACACACACACACACACACACACACACACACACACACACACAGAGCTAGGATTGCAGGGTTGGCGTGGTTGAAGTCGTATCGTTAACTGCGACGTGGTGAGTCCTTATACATCAGTCAAATGCATCCTAGGCAGAATGTCGCGGTTCAACCGCCTGATGAGTTGGTGAAAGTGTGACGAAACAGCCTGGCACAGTCATGCCTTTCTTAGTGGCGTTGTGTATAGCAGATATGATGACACAGAGAGAGAGAGAGAGAGAGAGAGAGAGAGAGAGAGAGAGAGAGAGAGAGAGAGAGAGAGAGAGAGAGAGAGAGAGAGAGAGATTTCTTGACTCTGGACACTCGAAGCGAATTGGATAAGCGTGCGTTTACGAATAGATAAGGGCGAAAGCAAGATCTTCTTGATTTCTTTCCGTTGTTCATTCATCTGATTCTATCTGGACTCGAACTCGGGTCTTTCGTCAATAAGTCATTGACATACCATTCACCCACATGGGCTGGGTCTTTTCTTTTCTTTTTTAACTAAGCTATATTCTTCTCTCAATTTCACATGTCACTATCAACCTACCCCTACAGTAACTCCTAAGCCTAGACAGGGGACCCTTGCAAACATAGCTCACTCTCACAATTAAGGGCATGCATGTTCATGCATGTTGCCCCCCGCCCTAATCGGCGGTGGTGGGGCTTTTTACTTCTATTTCTTTCTTTCTTTCTTTCTTTCTGACGTCTTTTTTTCTCTTTTTTCACCAACCCACACCGTAAATAAATTTCTTGCGTGGGTCTTCCTTTTTTTCTTTTTTTTTTAAACAAATAGCATGCTTCATCATTACATATAGAGCAAACTGAGGCCGGGAATCCCTCCACACCTCAACCCGGGTTGCGTGGGTCTTCCATTCAGTCATACGAGCTCGGTCATTTTTCTTCTCCTTTCTTATTTTTTCTGAGCTTTTTTTTTTTTTTTTTTTTTTTTTTTTTTTTGGGTGGAGGTGCCGGGTACCGATCCCGGTGCCTCTCGCAAGCCAAGCCCCACCACCGGGTACCGAGTTTTTCGTTCTATTTTTGAACATCTAGACGGGAATTTTGTTTCCTCTCCTTTTTCGTCCTCAAGTTTAAACCACACATCGAAAACATGTTGGTTTTCCCCTCCGCCATCAAACACGATGCATGCAACGATATGCTGTTTATAGAGGGGGGGGGGCGCAAAACAAAAAACAAAACAAAAAAAACGATACATGCAACGAGAGAAAAAGAAAAAGAAAAAACAGAAAATAAAAGGCGAGTTACACAAAACATGGAGTACTTCCCGCCAACTCTAATTATATGGTCATCAACTCATCATTCGTGAGACCACAAACACATATCAACTTACCACACGATCTTCCCTTCGCCCATATCTATACGTAAACACACGGTCATCCAATTGGCTTCGAGCTTCCACAGCACAGGAATCTTTCTCTCTCTCTCTCTCTCTCTCTCTCTCTCTCTCTCTCTCTCTCTCTCTCTCTCTCTCTCTCTCTCTCTATCTATCTATCTATCTATCTATCTGTGCACGTGTCCTTGCGTACCGTTTTCAGCAGCATGTAGCGTGTGTGAAGCAGCCAAAAATGCAAAATGAGAACGCCCAAGCAGTGATAGACACGGCAATCACTGTCCTCAGCGTCACATTTGAGAGGTTACTAGCTGAACATCCAGAAGCTCGTCTTCGCTGATGATTCGTATTTTGCAATCAGATCGAGGCTGCGACACACACAACAGAGCATACCCCTCCTTCAACACGTCCTCGCTAAGCATTGCGCCCTCCTGGTCCACCTGACCGCTCTCCAGCTTGGCAGGACACGTCATGCAAACCCCCAATTTGCAATCGTGTGACAGCTCTAATCCACTATCTAATGCCGCTTCCAGTATAGACATGTCATCAGGCACCGTCAGCGTGTGCACTTCGCCGTCTTTAAATATCTCCACCTTGTACTCTTGCGCATAACACACACCAGGCCGCCTCTGCGGCTGCCGCCTTCTTTCGGTTAATCCATGCCTTCCTGTACTGCGCGCCGAGCTTCTCAGCGAAGTCTCCCTGCCCGTTGTCCCCGCCGCAAACCCGCCTTTCGTCCCAGACGACGTCACCCTTGCCGCTCCGCGCCAAGCTGGCGATCGCGTTCGCGATCGCCACGCCGACACCCTTGCTGCTCCGCGCCAAGCCGGCGATCGCGAACTGGTCGACGTGGCAGACGGCGTGGAACCCGCCCCCGCCTGAAGGTTGCCTCGCAAGATAGGCGAGCAGTTCTCCGGTCGCAGGCAAGAGAAACAACGTATGCTTTGCGCCATTTTTGGCACAACGGGCTCCTATAGGCTCCTGAGAGAGAAGTAAACCAGTTCACACGTGGCAGGTGGGGAAGAACACAATCCGCGTGCGGATCTTGTTGGCGCGCGAAATGAGAGAGTGCCGCACCAGGGATGAGGGGAAAACGACGGAAAAGATAACGGCGTGGGTCTGTTCTATTTTTTTCTTTCCCTTTTTTGTTTGAAGGGCTGCCTCAAGCGGACAGCCTACACTGAACCGTTCAACGGTAACCATCACCAAACCCAGGTCGGCCTTCTTCTTGGATTTTTTTGCCGACAAAAGCCTAAGGAATAGGAGCCTCCAGCAGATACGTGGGTGTGCTACGGCAAAAAAACTTTGTTCTTTTGTTGGCGCCAAAACCTAACGAATAGGGGGCTCGTTCACTAATCACTATTGATGAGGGAATAACTTTCCCGCCATTATAAAGTCCCGCTCTGAAAGTGAAGGGCTGCTGTAGGGTGCCCACGCAAACTGGGCCAATTTTTATTGATAAGGGGGAACGATTAATTGAGAGGTTCAGCCAATGCTATGATGATAAACTTACTCTCGAGAAGACTAACTAGGGGAATGCATGGATGTA